TCACCACAGCTCTGTTCAGGGGGAAGAGAATCTCTCAGATATTTAATCCCCGCTTGTTTGAAAAGTCAACTTATCCAAAAGAAAGGAGAATTTTTATGGCAACAGCAATCCCCTTATTTTTATTGTTATGCAGGTGGAGTTCAGGTGACAGGCAGAGAAAAGATAAGCTGGAGGGTAAGCCTATTTTCAGGCCTCTTTGCTGAGGGAGGAGCCACTCCTGATTCACAAATCCAGAGCTCCCCAAAGACTGCACAGCCATTTAGCCCCCAGGCCCAGCCCCAGCAACAGCGCTCAGCACACAGCCTACCTCACCTGTTCCACGTGATAAAAGTTGCTCTCTGTGTTGAGATGCCAAGACCAACAACCTGGCTCATCTGTATTCCTGCAGCTGAAAGTGAAGACCGAGAAAACACACTTAAAAGCCAGGAACGCTTCATCTTACGATATCACAGCACAGAAAGCGATTGTTCCAACACAACGACTAGGTATAACTGGGCCCTGCACTGCATGCCTGTAACCCCACAATTTAGGAAGCTGGCGGAGGAAGACAAATTCAAGGCCAGGTGGAGACACAGTGAGACCCTGTCTCAAAAACCTTATCCATGTGTGGTGATACACGCCTGTACTCCCAGCACTGGAGGGCTGAAACAGGAGGATCACTACAAGTCCGAGCCATGTAGTGAGACCTGGTACCAAGTACATAAATTTAAAAAAAAAAAAGAACTTAAAAGGGCCAGCGAGATAGTTCAGTGGACTAAGTGCCTAAGTGTAGGGACAGGTTCGATCCCTAGCACCACATGCCATGCTGGCCCCACACCAGGGCACACTGAACCGGATACCAAGACCAGGCAGGTGTGGTGGCGCATGCCTGTAATCCCAGCTCAGGGGAGGCTGAAACAGGAGGATCACAAGTCCGAGCTGCTTAGTGAGACCCTGTACCGAATACATTTTAAAAAATAGAAAAAAATCTAAATGTACTACTTTAATAAAGCAATGTAAGTTAATAAATAAAGTACTACTAAGATGATAGTAGCATTTTTTTACTTAAAAGAAAAAAAGAGGGGGCCAGGGAGATGGCTCAGTGGAATAAGCACTTTCCTGGCAAGCGCAAGGGCCTGAGTTCAATCCCCGGTTCCGTCAAAAAAAAAAAAAAAGAAAAAGAAAAAAAGACCATATCCTTGTAAGAATAGAATAGCCTATTTTGCCCTAAATGTTGGGGAAAAAAAACACTATATTAGATTATGTTTTCTTCTTGATAACAGATCTTAACTTAGGCAATGATCAGTCATAATAGAAACTGGTTGACGATGAGAAACCAAGGAAAAAAGAAAAAGTAGTGTAACTACTGAAGTGAGGTCAGTGAAGGAGATATACCTTATTGGGGTATGCGCCTGCCTGCCTAGTACAAGGTCCAGAGTTCAATCCCTGGAACTACAAACAAAACAAAACAATGATGATGATGATGATGATGATGATGATGATGATGATGATGATGAAGTGAGGTCATATTATTCAACACAAATGCAATTCAGGGATGCACTTAAAAACATGACTTTTTAAATTAAAATTTCCCAGAAGTCTTTTATGTATTTGGTACAGGGTCTACAGGGTGTTCAGGGTCTCACTACGTAGATCATTTTTTTTTTGCGGAACTGGGGATTGAACTCAGGACCTTGCGCTTGCCAGGGAAGCGCTTATTCCACTGAGCCATCTCCCTGGCCCCTCTTCACTACGTACATCAGACTCATAGTGATCCTCCTTTTCTTAGCCTCCCAAGTGCTGGGATTACAGGCATGTGCCGCCACGCCCATTCTCAATCGCCGTCTCAGCACACCTCGGGAGCTGGCATGGCACCCCAGGGATCAAACTTTGGCCAGCTGTGCTCTGCCCAAGCAACAGGTACATCTTATATTCTTTTAAAACAATTTATCCCATTGGGAAAATTGAGGACAACCTCAATTGGAGCAATGAGGAAAGTGCATTACTCCTATATAGTAGTCCTTCAAAAATAATATGGATGGGTTGGTCATGATGGTGGACACCCAGCTCTCAGGAGGCTGAGGCAGGAGGACTGCTGTGGGTTCAAGACCACCCTGAAGACACAGCTAAACTGTGTCTCAAAAAAAAAAAAAAACATGGGGCTGGAGAGATGGCTCAGTGGTCTAAAGCTTGGAAAAGCACAGGGACCGCGGTTCGATCCCCCAGCACCACATGCCAGCCAGCCACGCCCCCTGGTGGGCTGAGCTGGCCCACACACACACACACACACACACACACACACACACACACACACGCACACACACAATAAATAAATGTAAAAAAAAAAAAGACATTTAAAAAAAAAAAACAAAAACAAAAAAACCCACTTACTATGAATGTAATCATGAGGAAACACTCAAACAACCTCCAAATGAGGATATTCTACCAAACTGGCCTACGTTTTGAACACTGTCAATGTGATAAAGAACATACTCTAGATTAAAGGAGGTAAAACAGGCTCATAGCTAGATGTGGTGCCTCAGCTTCAGTTGGACTCTATACTTTTTTTTTTTCCCAGGCTCCTTCTTCAGCTTCCTAAGAATTTTAGAATTTTTTAAAGTTATTTTTGTCAGGTGTAGTGGCTAGCATAGGCCTACAGTCCTAGCACTGGAGGCTGAGGCAGAAGGTTTGCCACAAGTTCACAGTTGGCTATGAGTTCAAGGCCTTAAACATGGTGAGTTCAAGGCCAGCCTGAACTATATAAAAAGATCCGGTCTCAAAAAAAAAAAGGTTTTGTTGTTTGTTTTTTTTTTTTACCAAGACAATAAGAGAATATTGAAGACTGAGTAATAGAAAATAGTATTAATGTTTTGTTTTGTGTTTTCTTGACAGATTTTGCTACATAGTTTGGAATGGTCTCATGGTGATCCTCCTGCCTCAGCCTCTTGAATGCTGAGATTATACGTGTGTGCTACTTCCTCTGGCTGGCTTGGTTTTGGGAAATAGGGTCTTAGTATTCAGGTCAGGCTGGCTTTGAACACACTATGTAGCCCAGGGTAGCCTCAGAACTCCTACTCCTCCTGCCTCAGCCTCCAAATGCTGGGATTACCATTGTGGGTCATCGCACTTGACTGTCACACTATTACTGTTGTAAACTTTTTGTTTTTGGTGCTGGCAATCAACTCAGAGCCCCACACACACCAAGCACACCCCACCAAGCCACCTCCCCCATCCACTCCCTTACTCTTGCAACTTTGTTAACAGGTTTCAAAGTACAGTTGCCCCTCCCTGTTTCATGGTTTGACTTTCACAGACTGTTTTAGTTTTCAAAAATATTAATCTAAATTATGTATTGTGGATTCTTCACTATATCGCAGGATTTTGCAGTGCCATACAGTATACATATGTGTTACAATTACATAGGTTTGCAAACTCAGAAAATGGTTAAGAGGGCTGGCCAAATAGTTCAGTGGAGTTAAGCTCCTACAAGCAGACTCAGGAGCCCCGGGGTTCAATCCCCAGGACTGTTGTGCCAGCCCTGCCCCGGGGCCGCACTGAGATTGAGATTGAGACTGGGTGTGGTAGCATGCCTATAATCCCAGCACTTGGAAGGCTGTAAACAGGCAGATCACTATGAGTCCGATCTAGTATTGAGACCCTGAACCACCTGTAGACCCTTCCCTAAAATACAAAAAAAAAAAAAAAAGAAAAGAAAAGAAAATGGTTAAGAATATTAGAAGTGTTTTAAGAGTGTGGGAAAGGTTTATAAGAGTAGGGAAATATAGATAGATAGATAGATAGATAGATAGATAGATAGATACTAAAATAAATATAACATTACTACTTTGCTAATTTTCACTTATCACAGGGGTGTCTAGAACCTCTGCTATGAGTGAGGGACCACAGTATCACAAATTAAAAGACAAAGAGAAGCAATTCAGATTGAAAAATGAAGTAAATGATCTTTTAGAATTTACAAGTCATCTTTCACAATGTTTTTCCAAAAGACTGCAGTGAAAAAATTTCTAAAAGACTAATATTTTTATTTATTTGTTATTATTATTTTTATTTTTTGGTACCATGAATCAAGCCCAAGACCTTGCACTTGCCAATTAGGCACTGTGCCACTGAGCTATCTCCCTGGTTAGGGCTACAATTTTAGACCATGGCTGTGGTCAGAAAAACAATACTGCACCAAGAGACCACACAGGAAGAACAGAACAAAAACCTGATTTGACACTGGGCATGGCAATCTACTCCTGTAATCCCAGCACTGGGACACTAAGGCAGGAGGATCGTTGAGAGTTTGAGACCATTCTGGGCTACAAAGTGAGTTCAAGGCCAGCCTGAGCTGCATGGCAAGACCCTGTCTCAAAAAAAGACAACAACACAACACAACCTCATTTGACCCTGAAGGAAAGTGAGATAGATGGGAATCACGAGCAGGAATTGTACATGGTGACTCACGAGCAGCTCTGTGGTCCTACTGTCAGCCCCAGCTCCTACCCAGCCTGCGGACTGCAAACACACTTACACACAGCTGGCAAGAGACAGGAAGCAGAGGACATAGCAGTTGTTCCCCTGCCCTGCCAGAGCGGTCTGCTGTCACACACACAGCTCCCCTGAACAGTCCTGGGATGCTGTGGACTCCCGTAACAAAATGCTCTAAGCCTGCATTTTATATACAAGCCTATGCAAAAAAAATTTCCCCCTGTACCCTGTACTGGTGATTGAACCCAGGAACTCAGACGTGCTAGGCAAGCACTCCATCACCAAGCTATATCCCTTGGGCTTTTCCATTTTTTAAGTTTGTGACAGGGTTTCACTAAGTTGCCAAACTGGCCTTGAACTTGCAATCTTCCTCCTGCACCTCTTCATGAAGTGTTGTGTGCCCCAGTGCCCAGCAAATAAACTCCTATCACAAACACCACGTACTGTCAAAGTAACCGTTATTCGTATAAATCTTACATTACCTTTCACAGCATCTTTTATGACAGCCACAAACTGAGCCCAGAGAATGTCAGGATCAATTTCTACCCATCCAGGTTGAGGATAAATATTTGTTACCTATTCAGGAAAAAAGAAGATTTAGTAAAAATAATGTTAGACCAAGTTCATCGTGTTTGAGGCTTAACCCTACTTGCTCATTAAAACACTTAACAAAATTTTACTTACCTAATTTTTACTGTTAAATTTCTGGGGTTGGGATTAGAGCACTTGTTCAGTATATGCAAGGCCCTGGACTCAACCCCAGTATTCCTTTTCAAACAAAAAACTGAAAAAAATACATATATGACCTTAAAAAGGACTACAAATCAATACCAAAATAGCAGTAGTTCGTGAGCTTACAAAAAATTTTTAGCTTTTATCTTCACTTTTCAAGTTTTCTACAACAGGTGCTTTGTAACAAAAAATAAAAACATTTTTTTGTTTGTTTGAGACAGAATCTCGCTATATAATGCAGGCTGGCCTTGAACTCATTACATAGCCCAGGTTGGCCCCAAACTCATGGTGATTCTCTTGCACCAGCCTCCTGAGTGCAGAGATTATAGGTGTGTACCCCTACACCCATAAAAATGATTAAAAAATAAAAAAAACTATGTTCCAGATTACACTTCGACAGAGCAAGCACACACTCCACCCTGCGTCTCCCACTGCACACAAATATAAAACCTAAGCCTAAAGTGGTGGCACATGCTAATGATTCCAGCATTCTGGGAGTCTGAGGCTGGAGGATCGCAAGTTCAACCCAACCCATCACAACTCAGTAACACAGTGGGACTCTTCAAATAAAAGAAAAAAAAAAAAATTTAAAGGGTTGGAAATGTGGTTTTGTGTGAGGCACTGGGTTCAATCCCTAGTTCAATCCCTACAAGAAAACAAAACAAAAACAAAAATCTAGGCAGAAGGCATGGAGCAGGGGTTCTTTTTTGTTTTCTTTTTGGTTTTTTGTAGATTCTTAAAGGAAGCAGTAAACTCCAAAGCTCTTCCCGAGGCTGGGCTGTCCTGGCCACTGCCACAAGCAGCAGGCTAAAGAAGCTAGGGCCGGCCCAGCGCTGAGGCCCCAGGCTGCCTGCCAGGCCGACACCACTCAGGGCAGACCTGAAGAACACAGCCGAGATTAAAGCGCAAAACCACTGCAGGGACCACAGCTGACCAAAGCCCCCAAACGTGTGTTCTGAAGCCTGCTAACAGAAAGGTGCATTTTTCCTAAAATCCCAGCTTCCCAGAGGCTAAAGCAGGACTGCAATGAGTTCAAGGGCAGCCTGGACTACAAAGTGAGACCTGTCTAAAAAAAAAAAAAATCAGAAAAAGAAAAAGTACATTTTTTGCAGGATTTATTTAGAAGCCAGAGTTTTTTTAAAACATAATATTCAAAACCTCTAGGATATAATCCAAAACTATAGGATATACAAAGAATCAGAAAAATCTCAACACCCATTAGAAAAGATAGTCAATGAATACTAATGTCAAGATGATATTTCCAAGTCACTTTAAAAAAAAAATCTTTGCCTAGCATTCATGAGGCCATGGCTTGAGTCCCAGCAATGCCAAGGGCCTGATAAGCACAAGATCTTCAGTTCAATTCCTGGTAGCCACTGCACCTCCACTCTGTCCCTGAGAAAGAAGGACCCAAATCACAGCTGGTGCAAAACCATTGCTCCTTTATATGTGAGTGTGTGTGTGCACGTGCACACACGTGTGCATGTATGCGTGTGTGCACATGTGCTATAAGAGAGCACGGATTGACCCAGGCGCCTTACACCAGGCTATGTCCCCACCCCATTTTTTGAGAGCTTCTTGGAGGTCTGGCAGGGCAGCACAACTGTTCTTCATCAGGCACCGCCCTCCTCTTCAGCCCGCCACAGCTCTCAGGGGGATGCACACAGAGTGGTAAGGAGTAAGGGGACACCTGCCTGGTACATCGCACCAGCCAGATCAACCTGGAGATCAATGGGTGACACACTGTAGCCAGATCACCCTCAGTTCCTTAGTTTGAGACAGAGTCTCACTAAATCACTTTCTGGTCCAGGGTGAGCTCAACCTGCGATCCTCCTTCCTGCACCTCCCAGAAGGCTGAGACCAGGGTGCTGTGCCACCAAGTCCGGCCCCATGGCACCATAATCCTTCATAATGGCCTGTGAGACCAGAGTCAGATGAGCTCTGTCCCTGCTCCTCAGCATGTGGGCCACAGCAGGCTGGGGGGTGCATCTTCATTGATCCCCCAGTATCTACAGGTGTCTGGGACTTCACAAGTATGCTATAAATGACAGGTGAACGCACTACTGACCAGAGAGCAGAGATTTTAGGGTGAAACCCTGGGTGGAATCAGGGTGCCTCTGGTGGAATCAGAGGCACCTACAGATCATAGGACACAAGAAGGGGCTATCCAGAGAGCTGGCTCGCTCTGTGTGTGTGTGTGTGTGTGTGTGTGTGTGTGTGTGTATTTTTTTAGGAAGGGTCTACATGGTGTTCAGGGTCTCACTACTAGATTGGACTCATAGTGATCCGCTCGTTTACAGCCTCCCACGAGCTAGGATTACAGGTGCATGCCACCACACTCAATTGCTGTCTCAGTGTACCCCTGGGGGTGGGGCTGACACAGCAGGTCAGGGGATCAAATCCCTAACCCCTGTGCCTGCTTGCAGGTGCTTTAATCTACTAGGCTATTTAGCCTCAGTCTTTAGCCAGGCTCAGATTTAAAGGATCGCCAGTTCCCATGTTCCCACTGCAGTCAGATGACAGCCTCCCTCGAACTTGGCAGAAACGTAGAAGTTTACGCTCTGGAGGGGCTGAACCAAGGAGTGCTGTACTTATAAATACCAGAGATGGCTGAGTGCTAGGGTCAGGTGGAGCACTGAGAAAAAAATCAACAGACGGCCAACCAACAGCAAGACAGAAAGGGAACCATAGCACTATGCAGAGCACACAAGAGACGCTGGGTGACAGACATGGAGAAAGAATCTATTCTCTGGAAGTGAGCACATCAGACTTAACACAGTCTCTTCCCCTTCTATCTGTACAAGGCTGTGCTAACTACAGGTTGCAATGGGTCCACTGCAGAAAGCACTTCCTCACCCCACACAAGTCTGCATGGACACAATTCTTCACTCCTGAAATCCTGCATACTCTGACTGGACCCACCAGCTTCACTCCCCCAATTCTGCTGCCTGGACAGCTCATCCCACCCTGTATCAGCCCATTTCAACGCTGGAACTAAATACCCGAGGCTGGTACTGGGTAAAGAGGTTTCTGTGGCTCCCAGTATCAGAGGTGAAAGTCTAAGATGGAGTGGTTCCCTCAGCTCTGCCGGCAGTGAGGGCCCCCAGGCTGCATCCTGTCAGGACAGACGGCCATGGCGAGGTGGCAGAAGCATACAAGTGGACAAGCACATGGAGAGCCAGGACTCCAGAGAGCAGGAAGGTGCCAGACATGCTCCTGGACAATCAATCATTCCCTCTGGAGAGCTAACTGGGATCCCAAGAGTGTCTTAATCCCCAGTGAGGATAGCACCCTCAGTGCCCTGCTGGCTCCCAAGGGCAGCTCCATCCTGGGCACAAGCCTGCAACCCACGAAACTACATCCGAACCACAGCAGTCGCCACATGGCACAACAGCGAAATGTGTCCCTCTCTAGAAGGACCAAGCCAAAACCAAACGATTTATGACCAGATTTAAGAAGAAAATACTTTTTGTTGGTCATGATGAACAACACAGACAACATTCTGTTTTTTAGATTGTAAAGTAAATTCCATATTGGACACGCACTGCCCTTTCGTAAGTGAACTTTCTCTCTCGGTTTGGTAGTTGTTTTAGGCTTTTCGTTTTTGTTTTTGGCTTTTTGAGACAAGATTTCACTGTGAGTTCAGGCTGACCTTGAGCTCACTTTGTAGCCTAGGCTGGCCTCAAACTCACAGCTATCTTCCTGCCTCAGTCTCCCAACTGCTGGCATTACAGGCATGTGCCACCACGCACAGCCCTTGTCCTGTATTTTTGACCATCATCTTTCATGAGTTCGCACAACAGCGTGATATTCCACTGGAGAGTGTGTGCACACAGGTGCAGTACTGGAGATGGAACCCAGGCCTCCCACATGTAACCAGCCCTTCAAATAAACAATTTTATTATTTATTTTTTAGTTTTCATGAGACAGGCACTGGCTATTCAGTTCAAGTGGTTTTGAACTATGTAGTCCTGCCCAACCTTGAAGTCACAGCAATCCTGCCTCAGCCTCCCAAGTACTAAGATTACAGGAATGCCACCATGCACTGGCCTCCCAAAAATAAAGATACAATTAAACTAAATTTATAGAGGAAAGTGATCTCCTCCTCCAACCAAAAGATCCCAGGTGTTTTATTATTAAAGACAATATACAAGGGCCGGGCAAATAGATCAGTGGATTAAAGCGCCTACAAGCAGGCGCAGGGGCCAGGGGTTCAATCCTGGGGCCTGCTGTGCTGGCCCCGCTCCCAGGGCATGCTGAGATGGCAATTGAGACTGGGCATGGTGGCGCATGCTTGTAATCCCAGCTTTTGGGAGGCTGTAAACAAGCTGATCACTACTAGTCTGATCCTGAATACCCTGTAGACCCTTCCCTACAATACAAAAAAAAAAAAAAGACAATAAGCATAAAATTACTCATCCAAATATGGCCATGCAAATTGCTAATTTTGGGGCCAGGGAGATAGCTCAGTGGAATAAGCGCTTCCCTGGCAAGCACACAGGCCTGAGTTCAATTCCAGGTTCTGCAAAAAAAAAAAAAAAAAAAATTGCTAATTTTATCTTAAGCACAGCAAGGCCAGCACCACACTTTTAAGAAGTTAGGTTATAAAATCCTACAACAGTTTGAGGGAAAATGTTGTTATGGATTGTGACTAGATGTAACTATATGGTCACAGGTGGAAGTTTTTCAGAGGTGGCTGGATCTACAATGTGATGCTGGGCCAGATACAGAGCTCAGTGGCACAAGTCTGCCTGACTAGCACAAGGTCCTGAGCTTGATTCCTGGTACAAAAAAAGAAAAAAAGTAAATGCAGAGTGTGGGGGCCAGGGAGATAACTCAGTAGAATAAGCACTTTCCTGGCAAGTGCAAGGGCCTAAATTCAATCCCCAGTTCCACCAAAAAAACAAAACAAAACAAAAACAAAAAACAATGTGGGATGCTGGGATTGATTTGTAATGTGATGCTAAAATCAAGGGTACTGGGATGAAAGGTACGAGTGCTACCCACCCTAAGTAGCCCGGATAAGAGAACAGGGATAAGAACAGCTAAGAGGAGGAAATGCGGGGGGGACACAAGATACCATGTATAGGCACAAATTCCTTATGATGAATGTTACCATTATGCATATCAAAAAATGTACCAATAAAAAAAAATAAATTAGGGGCAGGGGATAGAGCTCAGCAGCACAGCGCCTGCCTGGCAAGCACAAGGTCCTTAGTTCAATTTCTGGTGCCAGAAAAATAAAATAAATAAATAAGAAAAAGGGCCAGGGAGATAGCTCAGTAGAAAAGTGCTTGCCTAGCAAGCACAGGGTCCTGAGTTCAATCCCCGGTACCACAAAAAAAAAAAAAAAAAAAAACTAAAAAAATTTTCAACAATAAAAGTAACTAAGACAGTTATGGATTCCTTAATCTAAAATACTGCTTCAGCCAGGTGTGGTGGCACAAACCTGTAACTGAAAGCAGGAGGACCTCCACAAGTTCAAGACCAGCCTAGGCTCCACAGTGAGTTCAAGGCAAGCCTGGACCACAGAACAAGAACCTCATCTCAAAAATATATAAATAAATAGTTTCATCCATGGAGGGCAGAGATTTTTCATATTTTCAGTTACTCATGTAGTTCTAGACACTCTACAGTTTAGGGTATGAGCAAACAATTTTAGCTTCCTGCCACTCACCACAATCTTTATTCATTTCTGACCTTCTCTTTTCATCTTTGACATTCTTTGTCTCATTTCCAAATAAGCTAATGATATGCTCCAATTATACGGCAACTGTAAAAATATACTTTTTAACAATTGTGTTATCCTTTTGGTTCCAAATATTCTTGTCCCCAGGGCCAACAAGATAACTCAGTGGACTAAGTGCCTGCTTTAGGCAAGTGCAGGGGCCTGGGTCCAAGCCCAGGTACCACAGGCTGCACCAGCCCCACCGCCATCACGCTGAGCGTGAGACAGCCACAGAGAGCTGGCATGGTGGTGTGCATCTGTGATTCTAGTGCGGGACAGGATGAAAACAGGAGGATCAGTAGGAGTCTGAGCTGTGTAGTGAGACCCTGTAACAAATACATTAAAACAAACAAAACCGATTTTCTTTTCATTACCCAGACCCATTTCTTTTTCAGTAGAGAGGGTTGAACATAGAGTCACACCTGCTGTTCTTTTTCTAGTTTTTATTTTGAGACACATATCATTAGGTTGCTAAGTAGCCTAGATGGGCTTGAACTTGCCATCCTCCTGCCTTAGCCTCCTGGAGTACCGGGATTATAAATGTGCACCACCAAGCTTGGCTTCATTCCTTTAAAAAAGCAATTGGGGGCTGGAGAGATGGCTCAGTGGTCTAAAGCACCTACTTGGAACAAGCTTGGCAAAGCACAGGGACCGCGGTTCGATCCTCCAGCCCCACATGCCAGCCAGCCGCGCCCCCTGGTGGGCTGAGCTGGCCACACACACACACACACTAAATGTTAAAAAAAAAAATAAAAATAAAAAAAATAAATAAAAAGCAATTGGCAGGGAAAAGGTATAAGTACCTGCCAGGCACAAGGTCCTGAGTTTGATCCCCCGTACTGAAGGGAAAAAAAAAAAAATCACTGCTTAAAACAAAGTACTGGCCGGGGAGATGGCTCAGTGGAATAAGCACTTGCCTGGCAAGTGCAAGGGCCTGAGTTCAATCCCCGGTTCCGCAAAAAATAAATAAATAAATAAATAAATAAATAAAACAAAGTACTTTGTGTCTAGAATTACAAGGGAGACTACAATAAGCATCACTGTCTTTGTTAAACACTCCTAAGGAGGAGCACGCTGTCACTGAAGGCCACGGTATGCCTCCCATTTCTCCAGGGGCTGGGCAGGCAGGTGGGCAGTGCCCTGCATGCCCAGCCATGGCAAAGCCAGGCCACGCAGTTCCAGCTCACTGTCCCACACTGAAGCCTGAAAGAAAGCTGTTTTCCTCTAAGCAAACGGCGAAGTTGCTGCTTACTTGTACACTAGGGGAACCAACTCCTGGGCAACTGTTACAAGGAGAGACTTCCCCAGGTCACTTGGGCGCAGCGTGGACACCAGAAAAAGGGGGACTGACAGGGCGTGGTGGCACAAACCTGTAATCCCAGCTCTCGGGAGGCTGCGGCATGAAGATCGTTGTAGCCTGGGATACAGTGAGCTCAAGGACAGCCTGAACTGTACGGTGAGCTCCTACCTCAAAAAAAAAAAAAAAGGACAGAGGGCTCACTTCAGGTGGCGGGCAGCTCCTGTCCTCCCAACTCTAGCAGGTACTGAACAGAGTGAGGAAGAACATGATGTACAAAGCGCATTATTTTTGGTGCATTCACAACGATGTAGAAATCAACACTTGATTAAAATGAGAACAGAATACCAACTTCTTGGCTGCTCACTGATATTGTCAACAACAGCCCAACCAACCATTTGGCAGGACTCTTAAACCCAAAAAAGGTACTCTGTTTAATTCTCAAGGACGGAAAGAAGAAAAAAGTAACTGATTTCAAAACTTGCTCAACACATCCCGCGTCCACGGAAATCAGCCGCTCCCGCGAGCAGCTAGCACATTCCTGCGTAGTTAATGAAGATGACAACCAAAAAGCAGGAACTTGAAATTCTATCAAAAGCTGAAAAATTAAAGTGTAAAATAAAGATGGGGCTGGAGGTCTCTCGCAGAAGGACAGGGAAGCCGAGAGGGTCACCGCCCCTCCCGCGTGGACGCCGCAGCCCGCCCGTCCCGCCCGCGCGCCCGGCCGGCAACCCGCACAGGAAGCATGCCCGGCCGGACGCGAGCGTAGGGCGCAATCGAGACCCCGCCCCGCCCGCGCTGCAGGTGGCCGCCCGCGCCCGACCCGGGTGCCCGTAGACCCGCGCGCCCCGGTCACCTTCTGCGCGCTGGAGCCACGGACCCGCGCCGCCCGGTCGTAGACGTGGCAGCGGATCACGGAGCTGCCCACGTCCAGGCCCAGCACGAAGACTGCGGGCTGGGGCTCGCTCCCATTGTACTGCTCCGACATCCCTGCCCGCACGCGTTCAGCCACAGCTGCTGCCCGCTGAGGCGCGCTATAAGCGCCGGCGCCTCTGGGCGAGAGCCCCACCGGGCCCCGCCCCACCCTGCCTGCCGCCGGAGCCCGGAGCCCCGCCCACGCCCCAGCCACGCCACGCAGTAACGTCTGTGTCTCGCGAGGGGCCGTAGCCGGAAGTCGCGGTTCCCGGGCTCGCGGCTGCTTTGGCTGGCGCTCCTGCTGTTGTGGGTTTTGGTCTTCGCCTGTAGGTTTTTTTTTCCCTGTGACTCCCAGTCCTTTTGGTTCTTATAACCTTAGTATTTGATAAACTGGGGAGGTTCCCAGGGCTTCCGCCCTCCGACAAGCAGTACATGCGAGGCGCGGCAGTGAATACAAGCTGAGAACAAGAGTAAGCCTCCCCAACTCTGGCGGGAAGAGAAGAGAAGCCGTATGGAGGCTGCCTGCACCTTCGCGCCCCGCCCTCGCCGCGCGTGGCGTCTGGGAGCCTCCCCGGTAACGGTTGCTTTTGCCGCGGCCCTCGGGCTCTGCGCTTCCCCGGCGCGGGTCGCCGCCCCTCCTGCCGGCCGGCCGGCTGGCGGCTCCCAGCCCGTAGGCAGTGCGGGGGCCTGGTCACGCTTACCCAGGCCACCAGCTCTGCGGAACTGGAAAGGATAGCTGCGAAACTTCGCCGTCTCGTAGAGTTACGGACGTAATGTGGGTCGCGTTTTCGTGAGGACGTTTAATAGTGCAGAGTAGTGTATCAGTTAAAAAGTGGTGGATGTTGATTTTAAACCAAATCATTCTTTGGTCAAATTGCCCTGAATGCCTGCTTGCCTTCTGCCAGTTTGACCAATATGGGTGCCTTGGCCGTATAACTAGAATAATACACTCAAGATTATGTTTTTGTTAAATCTTTCTACCCTGTTCAAATGAGACCCACTTGGTCAGAACTGTGAGAACCCCCAGCATTGTAATTTTAAATAAATGAATGGGGGCTGGGGCGATAGCTGAGCGGTACAGTGCTTATCTTGCAAGGACAAGGTCCTGAGATCCATTACCAGTGCCAGATAAATAAATGACTAACTGATGGGCTCTGAATTGGTCAAAGTTCTCTAGGAGACATAGAACCTACAGGAGAGAGAATTTAAGGAACTGGTAGACGTGATTGTGGGGTCCGGCAAGTCCTGCACATTTGCAGGGCAGAATTCTAGCGTTGGTTTTGAGAATTCCCCCTTTGGGAACTCTATCTTTGTCCTTAAGATTCTCAGGTAAGGGCATGAGGCTCTCCCACATTAAGGAAGCTAACCTGCTTTACCTAAAGTCTGATTTTTTTTTTTTTTTTTTTGGTAGGGGGATTAAACTCAGCACCTTGCCCTTGCTAGGGGGGCACTTAAGCCACTGAGCTGTATTCCCAGCCCTTAAATGTTAATCATGCCTAACACATACTTTCCACCACAATGCCTAGGCAGATGTTTAACCAAAAGCTGGCCATCCTATTCAAGTTGACACATAAAATCAACTACAATTTCCTGTCCATATCAGAAAACTTTTATGTCACACAAATTTGATGTTTGGCATAGTTCTCAAAGTGATATTTCTTGAGATTCTTGAATCCTGGCACTTCCTTCAGAATCCTTTTCCCAAAATGAAATCATTTATCTGGGTATTATCAAAGAATAATAGAATGTAGAAACAAGCTTAATAACTAGTATTTTTTGTTTATTTTGAGACAGCCTTGCTATGTAATCCATGGTCGCCTTGAACTCACTTTGAAGCCTAAACTAGCCTTGAAATCAGTAATCCTTCTGTCTCAACCTCCAAGTGCTGGGATTACAGTGTGTGCCAGCATGCCGGGTGCAACATCTGAGGTTTCTAGCTACCTGGCAGAATGTTTGACTGGCATGCACAAGGTCTTGGGTTCAGTCCCCACCAAAGGAAGAAAAAAACCTTGGAAAAGTAAAAAGAGATGTAGAAGATGAGGTTATTTACAAAAGAATGACAGACTGCCAAGATTTCTCAACAGAATACAAGAAGTAATGCACTCAAGGTGCTAAGGGAAAGTAATATCAAACAAGAATTCCAGGCTCTTTCAAAATGGAGGTTAGCTGATCATTTTGGCCCATGCCTGTAATCCTAATACTGAGAGGCTGAGGCAGGACCCACAAGTTCAAGATCAGCCAGAATCCTGCATCATGACCCTATCTCAAAAAGTAAACAAACCCAGGTAAAATGAAAGTTTTTCAGGCCAGGGATAAAGCTCAGCAGCAGAGTGACCAGTAAGCACAAGGTCCCAAGTTCAATGTCTGGTACCAGAAAAAAAAACAGGCATTTTTATTAAGTTGACCTTCAATAGATAATAAATCACCAAAGGATGTACTTCAGGAAAATGAAAAACACTCAGCCTGTGAAACAAATTCAACAGCCAGGCATGGTGATTTATGCCTGTAATCCCAGCACTTGGGAAGCTGAGGCAGGAGGATCGTTACAACTTTGAAATGAGCCTGGGCTACAAAGTGAGCTCAAGGCCAGCCTAAACTGCATAGAGACACTCTCAAAAACACAATAATAATAATAATAATTAAAAGCCCACAATAGGGGCTGGTGAGATGGCTCAGTGGTCTAAAGCACCTACTTGGAACAAGATTGGCAAAGCACAGAGACTGCAGTTCGATCCCCCAGCACCACATGCCAGCCAGCCCCGCCCCCTGGTGGGCTGAGCTGGCCATACACACACATACACACACACACACACAATAACTAAATGTTTAAGAAAAAATGAAAAAAATAAAAATAAAAAATAAAAGCCCACAATAGTCTTCATAGTAAAAGTATCAGTGAAGATAAAAGTTATAATGTTTGAAGGTCCCATTCAGCAGGAAAACATAAATACCTTAAATTTGAATATGTTTTATAACAAATTAAGGCAAAAATTGACAAGCTTACAAAAAACTATAGGAGATGGGGCTGTAGCTCTGTGGCAGGGTGCTTGCCTCACCTGTGACCTAGGTTCAGTTCCCCAACAGTGCAAAAAAAAAAAAAAAAAAATTGCTGTCCATGGTGGTGCATGCCTGTAATCCCAGCATTCAGCTGGCTGAGGCAGGATCACAAGTTCAAGGCCACCCTGGGCTACTTAATGAGCCCAAGGCCAGCCTGAACTACATGTAGAGATCCTGAGGTTAGTGTAATCATAGTAGCATTTACAGTAAGTACCCCTGGATAGGGGTGGTGGTACATGCCTGTCATCTAAGTTCCTAGGAAGCTGGAGGAGGATCATCCTGACTGAGTTCAAGGCCAGCCAGGGCCACACAGTGACTGCAGGCCAGTCTCAACCTAGCCAACAACAAAACCCACAAAATATTGATGCACTTAAAAAAAAATTTTTTTTTTGATGCACTTTGAGACCATGATGTTAAGTGAAATAAACCTATATATATTTTGTTGTGAATGGGTGATGTCTTTGTCAAAAGTTTTTTCTGCTTTTATTGAGGTAATGGTATGGATTTTGTCCTTGTCTCTACTAGTATCATTTTTACATTTATTAATTTGCATATGTTGAACCATCTCTGCATCCCTGGGATGAATTCTACCTGGTCATGGTGTATAATCTTGATAATTTGCTGCATTCTATCTGCCAGTATTTTACTGAGGATTTTTGCATCTATATTCATTAGGAAAATTGACCCATAATTTTCTGTCTTAGTTGGGTCCTTCTCCAGTTTTGGTATCAGGGTAATGCTTGCTTCCAGGAATAAATTTGGGCAGGCGCGGGGATTCAGGGTTCAGTCCCAGTGTTTACAATGCTGGCCCTGCCCCCGGAGCATACTGAGACAGGGATTGAGACTGGGTGTGGTGGCACATGCCTGTAATTCCAGCACTTGGGAGCCTGGCTGTAAACAGGAGAATCACTATGAGTCTGATCTACTGGTGAGACTGAACACCCTGTACACCCTTCCCTAAAAATACAAAAAATAAGTAAAAAGAATAAAGAAGTGTAACGTGTATATCCTAACTCCACACAATGAGTGCAGTCGCTGAATACTGCAAGCATATACTAATTCAAATTAATAATAAAAAAAACCCAAGCCAGGTGAGGTGACCACTGATCAAGTTGCAGGTTACCAAGAGTGAAGCCGGAAGCTGACTCCACAGGATCGTGGGTAATTTAGCAAGACAGTGCCTTCACAATCAAGTAGTGCTGGGTATGGAGCTGAGTGCTCCCTCGTACCACACACAGAAAAGGGCCAATGTTTTGTTTGTGGGTTTTTTTTGGTGGAACCAGGGATTGAACTCAGGCCTTTGCGCTTGCCAAGGAAGCGCTTATTCCACTGAGCCATCTCCCCAGCCCCAAGAGCCAATGTTATAGGTAAAGTTAATTTACAGTTAATAACAATCAATACAGCTCAGTACACAATCACTAAATACTTGTGAGATATTATGGTGGAGAACATCCAATAGCAACAAATACACACATAGGAACCAATTTAGTAAGAAATACAGAGCACCTAGAGAGGGAATTAAAACCAGCTGTCTAAAAGCCAAGCATTTTGTTATGCGCCCAAGTCACCACAACTCTGGAGACTTAAGCAGAAAGATTGAGTGAACCCAGCCAGCCTGAGTAAGACTGTACGCACGCACACAGTCCATGCAAAAGGTGTGACTAAACACTATAAATACAGAGCAGCGCTACTATAATTCTCAAAATGTGTAAACAGCCCAATTGTCTTATCAAGTGATAAATTATGGAAAACATACAATGGAATTTTTTTTTTACGTATTTGGTACAGTGTCTACACCGCTTAGACTCCTAGTGATCTTCCTGTCTCAGCCTCCCCAGCACTGGGATTACAGGTGTGCGTCACCATGCCAGGTCTCAGTGGCCTGCTTAGCAAGCCTTTGGGGGCGGGGCCAGCTGGGGATTGAACTCCAGTCCCTGCATTTGTCTAGGCAGGTGCTTAGTCCACTGAGCTATCTTGCCGACCTTTAAATCCCTTTTCCCTGTCCTCCCTCCTTGTTCCCTTTCCCATCTGAGTAAGTTCTTCCTACTTCCGAATATCTATCCTTTTTGCTGCTTATTTACGCTTTGGGTTTTCATA